GCCTCGTCTGTTTCCCAGCCATACCTCAAGGGCTGGACCCCCTGCGGGGGCTCCCTCGCTCTCTACCCCCCCGCCGGCGGCGGACGTGATTGGGACCATATGTTGGCCCCATTCATCCCCTTTCAAACCATTCTTCAGGGCGCTAACTGCGAACACGTTCGAGTCACCTTGAAATTTCCTCCCAGCTCATTGTGATCACTCTTTATCTTTTCTCCCACCCCCCCTTTCTGTCCTTCTTCTTTTTTTTCCAATTAAAAGCTTAACAGCCCTGGAAACGGAGTTCATGTGGTGAAGTTTACCATAGGCCCTGCCTCTGAAAAGCTTTCTGCTGGGATCCCATTATGTGCTTGACTAAACCTTTTCTGCCCTGAGCAGTGGGCGAGGAGCTCCCGTCAGGTGTTGGGTTACAACAGACATTCGGGTCCGGGGGCAAGGTGGGGCGGGGGCGACCCGCGCCAATACAAACCTGGCCCGGCGGCGAGATGTTGTCAAATACTGTCCCAGCTATTCGGACGCAGGTGGGGAGTAGGGAGGGCAGGCGAGAACGAAGAAACTGGCCCGAACCCCGTCCGAAGAGGAGAACGAGCCCCGATCCAACAAGCCAGAGACTTGGGGGGGGGCGGGGGCGGAGACAGGCTCCAGGAAAGGGCGCCTCTCTTCTCTTCACCATCCCCCAGGGGCTCTTGGATGCCCTACTGTCAAAATCTCCTGGGATCACTAGACACCCCCCCCGGCGCTCTACTTTTACCACGAGACAAAGTGAAGTAGGGACAAGACCAGAGGATGCCAGGCGTCCAGAAACCTGGCTGATTCCGGCCGAGAGTGTCGTGAGTGAGAAAGGGGATTGGATTCAGTTTGGGGGTATATTCAGTGCCAATAAAACACAGAGGGCCAGTTCAGGCTTTCGCTCCCCCAAACCCCGATCCTGGCACTAAACACTGCTCATTTTTTCCTGCTTTACCTTTCCGTCACTTTTTAAGGGCCAGTATATAATTCGGATCCTTTCATTCCAGCCTTGCGTGGTTTTTTTTTAGAAAATAATGTACGTCAGGCACCTGTTTTGATTTGTGAAGTTGATCGCGAGGGTTTCTTGCACTTGTTTCCTCACAGTAACATATTTTTAAACATACGAAGTTCACTATATTTATCCAACCTCTTAATTCATTTCTAGACATTGTACATTATCATCGCCATAATAATTAATATTATGATTACGTTGTGAAACTTACACATTAAAGATAACGTATTTTATTTGGCAAGGCTATTTGTTGCTCTGCTCCGATTGTATTTATCTCTTTTTCTCCCCAAGCTGGCGCCCGATCTTACCCCATTCCGCAGGATTTAACTCCTGCTGAATCGTTTCTATGCTCTCTCTGCTTTGAGTGATATGTGTACAAATATCCCCCGCGGGAGCGTGGGCCTCACCACACCTGCTATCTTTGCCTATTTCCAAAGAGACGTTTGTTTTCTGGAGTTTAAAAATTAGGGGAGGTAACGAGATTCCTCTCCCATCTGCTCTGGAGATGTCTGGGGGAAAGTTACAAACACGAAACTAGTGCTTACACTCCAACAAACTCAAACAGCTTGACGACAGGCAGTGAAAACAAGAAAGAAGAGAACATTTGGTCTCCTAAGGAGAGACATTGATTTCTGCACCTGAGCAAATTAAACGTTTTAATGAAAGCACATTTTTTAAAAAAACTGGCATTTCTCTCCGAAACATACATGATTGTATAGCCCTACTGAAATATTTTCTTAAAAACTGCAGCTTGTTTTAATCCGGGTTCCCACAGGTTGTTCAGAAGTACCTCTGCATGTGATTTTTGTGTTTGCATTTTTGCGCGATTTTCCAGTCATTTTGAGAAATAGCAGCATTTAAAAAAAAACACCGAACAGATTTTAGAAAGCAATGCCTACATCACAGCACTTCTTTAAGCACAGGGCATGGTTTAAAGAAATGCACGAGGATCTCCCATTCTGTAGGACCGAAAAGCAGGCGCAGACGTTCAGTACGCAAGTCACCCTGCGGCGTGGAGTGTTGAGCTACACCGTCCAGCAACGCCCCCGAAACCGGCGCGGGGGGGGGGCTCTGGGTCCTACGTTTGCAAGGGGCGTCCACCCAGCGGACAAGGTCTGGGGCTCGGTAGCCAAATGGTGGCAGGTGGGTTTTTTTGTTTGTTTTTCTTTTTAAGAGCTACGGGAGTTAAACGAGGAAAGGGTTGAGCTGTCCGATTATTTCTCGACCAAACTCTGAGCCCTAAAGTTGGGTTTTTTTGGGGGGGGGGGAATGCCAGTGGTTTCCCAGTTAACTTCTCCGCCCGAGGCAGCCTCGCTTATTTGTCTGTTCCCGTCCTTCCAACACCCGACCGGGGGGGGGGCAAGGGGGCCGGAAGTGTGCAGTCCCACCTAGCGTGGGGACTGGTTGGCTTGGAACAGGTTTCATCCTGGGACTTCCTTATTTCCCAATGAAAAGCCTGGGTTTGGGCTGTAAAGCCGGGCGCAAGTCCCATAACTTCGGCCTTGATTTGGCTAATGAGGCTCGGTGGGGGGGGGGGAAAGAGGGGGAGGGGGTCCTCTTCAACTATTTAATTTGAGATGGGGGGGCGCTGGGTCCAGCAGCGCCTTGGTCGGGTAAAATGATCTCCTATTTGTAAACGCAAGGCTTTTTCCCCCTCCTGAAGGGAAGGAATCCGCTCTTGTCTCCAGTCCTGACACCATCCGTCCCCACCGGAAAATGGACTCTTCCCCTGCATCACCTCTCCCGCTCGCTTTCTAAGAAAGCCGGGTAGCTTACCAGAGCAAGGAGAGGAGCGCCGCCGACGAGCCCATCTCCCTTGCGTGGAGGGGGGGGAGGAGGAGTAAAAAAGGGACCTGGAAAGCTCCCTCCCCCCTTCATTGCTCTCCGGCCTTCCTGAGGGAAACAGCCCGGCTAGAAAAGGGCGGGAGTCGGTGCCGGGGAGAGCGCCGTTTCTTCCGAGGGGAGGGGCGTCGAGTGGGAGAGGCGGGG